ACGCAGGCTGCGCGCCGGCTGCGCGTCGGCTGCGCTCGCCAGCGCCGCGCGGCTCCGGCAGTCGCCACTCCCTGCGCATCCGCGGGTGCTCAATACTGGGACGGTTTTGCACCTCGGGCGCTAAAACAACCGAAACTTCGCACTATCGATCTGCGCATGGTCAGTTGGAGGTTCGCATCGCTTTCGTCTACCTGCGCGGGCTGAGATGGAGAGTGCAGTCGATTGCTGCCCGCTAAGGCGGGGAAAACTCCCTAGTTATGCGTATCTCGATCTGCGCATGCGCAGATCGATATTACTTACTGTCGATTGCTACACGGAGCGCTGTTCTGAGAGTTCATAAAGTTCCTACGGTATTTTTGCACCACCCATCGACTAACCGCGGTCGACAGCAATCGTAATCTGCTGTGCATGCACAACTCTACGTGCGCATGCGCAGATGCTCTAAAATGGTTTTAAATACGATTGAAAGATAACTTTCAAAAGCTGTATACTATGCTGTACAAAGTTTAACTGTTATATCGCACCAAAATCATGTTAATGGAATGGAATGGGTTAATGAAATTTGATGGATGGTTTTGTAAGTGGTTTAATAACCTCATTTTTACATTCATGCGGCGGAGAATTGACAGTGATCGTGATTATTCTTTTGTAAACAATATTTAACTAACTAGAAAATAACAATTAACAAAACTGAGTCTGGAGTCATAAGTTCCGTATCGACTGTAAATATCGATATTTTGAAATCATCGGCATCGATGTCGCATCCGCACAAGAAGAAATCAATGTATGTCTGCTCACGGGAGATTGTGCCCAAAAACCCCCGACGCACTTCTAGATACCGTCTTATAACCAAATATTGGAATGTGTTACGTAGCCGAACTCTGTAATTTCCAAAAGAACTAAAAATGCGTGTCATTCACTTCAGACCTGAACGCACTGCATTTATTAATTTCAAACGAACTCCGTTTTCAAGAGATAATGATCCCATCACTTTTCCAACACAATGGATTGGTTGCATCAGCGCAACGACAGGTGCTTTAGTTTAAAGTTATTGTTTACGCCATCGATGGAATATGAGAACGATGTGGCAGATTTGTGTGCACACTGGAACCGCCATATTACCATAATACTTTCCGTGTAGTAATATTACGACAAATCGTTGGGTCGAAAGGCGGTTTTATGGAAGATTAAAATTACTTTCACCATATCGTCTCTCATTACATTTATTGGCGTTCAAAATCATGATATCAATTGAAAATACTATGGATTTCGTCATTCTAAGTTCATATTTTTTCTCAGACATAATAGGGAATGTTATAATGTTGTAAGTGTAGCTACTGAGAAGCAAAGACTCAATTGCATTCTAGTCAACGCACTGTTTGGGGCCAGTCGCTGCCGTTGGGGCGTGGGCGTGAGTACACAAAGATTGCTCTCTATAGGTACACAAGCGTCCACGGCGCATGTGCATGGAGGCTGGAGATAATGGTTGCACCAACCCCGTTGCATAATCTCTGTCGACTTAGCGTACGTTACTGCGTTTAACGGTTTGCCTACGCAATATCCTGTTACGGCGTCGCATTGCCAACGCGCCAGCAGCACCGCAAGCGCAGCTCCCGTGGCTTTCTACACGTTCTGATATTCTAATGGGCTTGGGTCAGTTGTGTTTGTGTATCGGAACACGAAGGATATGACTTGAAGGACTCATAAGTACGAGATATGTGTTCGATATAGGTCGACAAACGTTTACCGAAACAGAATTAAGGCGAAATTACTGATGCGTGTAACGTCTGCAAACTATGTGTTATTAGGCAAGTTGTCATGTACCATCTTCGGGGAGTGCTTTAAAAATGCCATATACGCCTACGTCGCTGTAATCTCTCGTATGAGCTTTTATAATATGTGGAATATAAGAGTGAAGAGTAGAAGTTTTCAGAGAATTTTTCAGATAATTCATTTTTGTTTAAAAAATGTAGAGCAAAAATCACTTGTCAATCGCTATCGAGATTATGCCTGACTTAATGTTCATGGAGTTCACTGTGTACCATATTTTTATTAATTGTTGACGTTTTCAATATTTTGTGAGTGTTCCAATTTTGCAATTTAAATTAATTACTTTAAGCAACACAGTAACAAATGATGTATTATAAGTTTTCCATCCTGCGTAATGAATATACTATTTTATTACCCATCACGTGCACTAAGTTTCCCAACTGTCGTCAAAGGTTATCTGGCGTGTAGCCATCTAAAATGTGACTACGTGATCAATATAATTGTTAATCATCTCTTATAAATGAATAGTCAATCAGCGTAGGAACATGTGCACCGTAGAGTCCCACGTAGTGCGGAGGGGCAGTGCTTGTAGAGCTGAAGGGCGCTGTGTGGTTGCAGGGCGGCGGGCGGCTGGCCCGGCGCGCGACTTCCGCCGGCACGCGGTGGTGCGGCCGCGCCTCTTCCACGGGCGCGGGAAGCGCGAAATCGCCTCCTCGCGAGAAAAGGTGAGTGCTCTTCCTTCTTCTTCTTCTTCTTCTTTTGCATCTTTTCGTCTTTCTCCTCCAGTCATAGTGCTTTCAAAAGACAAATAAATGAATACAGATTGTTACAAAGTATGCTTGTTCTTTAGAAACTTTCAATTTTTTAAAAACTACATTTAACAAAATATTTTTTAACTATGTGGGAAACGCGGGAATGTGAATAATACTCACTATAGGTCTCTAATTGCTCTGTAGTCTGGTAATAGGTCTCTTCATTGAGGTTCCAATCAAGGAACCTCATCTCAGATCAGCGTACCTTATATTGCGGCCAGATTTACTGTGGGGGGAGCCTCTGGTGGGGGACTCTCAGTAAAAATACCAAAAACGATATAAAATATTTATATTTATGACCTTTTTGGTAACCATATAATACATACATTTAACTAGAGGGTTTAGATAAAGTGATATAAAAAACATACAATATAGCACATCTTTTTACATGTTGGCACCTCTGCGGACGTGTAAACTCTGCGACGCGGCTGCATTGCACAGTTGACGTGTCACGTTCAAAGTTTGTTTTGTAGTGTATTACAGGCTTTTGTCTGCTTCGTTGAGCGAAAGCGATATGTGAAATTTGTGATCTCTCAGACCCCCAAAAAGCAAATCGTTGTTGCGCGGTTAGCGGGAGTCTCTGTGACGGAAGCAATTGAACTTCAACGTTTCATGATCGGCATCAAGCATCGGAATATCATCAAATATCTTCCCTGGCCAGCACAAAATCTAGACCTCGACGTAATTGAACCGATATGCCATGTTTTAGAGCAAAAAGTGAGGAACTGATTTACAGCTCCAACACCGTTGATGCAATTGGTAAAAGTTTTGTTACAAAAACGACAGAGCATTCTGTTGGAAACTATTCACTTTACATTTATATTCCATGACGAATTACAGATGTTCTAAAAGCAAATGGTTGTCCAATACCTTATTAATAATGGTGCTCATATTATTTTGTCCAACCCCTATATGTCAAAGAGGTACATTCCTCGCATTCCTTGCAGAAAACTTGTTAAACACACCGTCAAAACGTATTTCTCTCAAAATATCGTTATTTCTGCTTAAAATGGTCAGATCATTGAGATGTTGTGGAATCGTTGCAATCTGTTCTTACTATTTGTGATTTTGAAAGTATTGTTTCAGTAGTGCAATTGATTATCATCCAAATAAGATAAAATTTAAAAATGATTTTCACACTAGGAATGCTGGACTTCATTTGTATTATTAAACTGAACGTATAATGTTCTCTGCCGAAATATCCTACTCCTACTGCAAATCGTTTGTAAAATTTCGCGTATTGAACGAGTTCAACGCTTTGATTTTCGTCGACATCGTTTAGGTACGTTTGAGTTAAGTTTTGCTTACTCAATCAATTGTTCTGGTTCCAAATGTTCCAATAGCCAAGGGACCAAAATGTATATGAACCAAATCATATGCTGAAATTTGTTGATCCAAGGATGTTACGAACTGATCAATGTTAGGGAGGTAATTTTCGATGTAATCTTTGATATGGTGACAGGTCGACGTCGTTTGCAGTTTGTTTTGAAAATATTTTATGTATTGAATCGTTATAAAAATATTGCATACAATTAATTGTAATTAAAATTCAGCAAATAAAATAAGCTTGCAATGTTGTGAGTCGACGTCATAGAAACTATGCTATATTTGAATCTAAATTAAAATAAAATAAATATACATTTAATACAAAATCAAAGTATAAAAATGTATCATAAATTTGTAATATAACAAATACTATTAATATGCATGAATACGAATCTATTCAAATGACAAAAAATGTATGAATTTTATTTACATCGTGTGGCTTTAGTTAAAACCCACAATGGTTCTCCTTTTTTTATTAAGGGGGGATCTGGGCCGCCTCCCTTCTTGCCCACTCTTAAGTCCGGCCCTTCTTGGGAGGATATAATTTTTAATTAAACTTATGGGCATGTAAGAATGAAAAATTACAACGATACCAATTGTTCGTCACTTACATACGAGAATTGCTAGTTTTTTGCTATGTTTGTCTAGTCTTTCTGTATCTCTAAACTCATTTCCCGTTTTGTAATGTAAATGCTATGTGAATCACCTCATTAAGTTCGTATTAATTTATCATTTGTGAAATATTTTACTTTTTCCTCATTTGTGTAATTTGCACTTCAAACATTTACGTTTTATCACTCCAAGTGGGGAAAATAAAACATTAATTCCAGATATCGCGAAGTGCCTCCCTGGCACTCGTCGCTGCCACGACCACAGCCGCTCCGGCAAAAACGCGAAAACGCTCCGGGGCGCTGCAAATCGCTGAAATTAGTTTAAACCGGTCGCCCTCGTGAAAAACGCGCGTAATTCCAACAATGAGAAGCGATTCCATAAATTAGCGCCAACAGGCGGGACTTCGTGAGCGGGGCGGGCGAGCGCGGAACTGCGCTCCGTGTGGCCGGAGTGAGAATGTCGAGCGCTGTGGGTGAGGAGGGTGGAGAATAAACAAAACGGAATTAGAGAAATACTTCCCACGCCCCAGTTGGCGATCAGGTCTCTGCGGAAGAATTTCGGTCCTCGAACAGTCCGAATTCTTTCATAAGCACTTTCAGGAAATAGAACAAATGGATTATCTGTGGCGAAGGAGGACGGAAGCCGCTCATCCATGAAATGTTGAAAGTAGTAAAGAACTCGTGCAGAAGAAATTTTAGTGGCTGATCGGTAGTTATTTGGTTGTTTTTCCGATGAATACAATACGAATTTTGGAGCTTTCCCCTAACAAAAGAGCTACGGACCGCGCGCGATCATTCCTTCCTCTTCTTTGTTCTCTCCTCTCCCCTTTCATATACATACACACACGAGCGCGCGCGTGCGCCCACTTCCATACACTACACTACACTACCTCAAATGACAGGAGACTAGTCGGGAGCGTACGTTTTAAGGCGGCTTCACACATTCTGCATTCGCCGAGCAGCTCGCGCAATCCGCACAGCTGATGTGTTCGGTGAATCTTCGCTGTCTTTGACGTGTCCTAAAGATCGATACGCGGTGGGTTGGGCGAATACCGAATGTTCGGCGCTCGGCGAATCGCAAACAACCCGTCCACACTACTTGGCGAGCGGTTGCTCGGGATTCGCCGAATGTCGCATGTGTGGAGCCGCATCTAGAGCCTGTCCCTACTGGGGCGGGCTCCGCTGGGGGAGATTCTTGGAGAGGGAAACCTAGCAAGCTGACATGTAAGTCGGCGTCGGACCTCACCATCCAGCGAGGGGAACGCCGTCATCTCCAGACGAAAACATTTATTACACAAACGACCAAAACAGCGGACGAGCCCAGAAAAGTCAGTTCTGCGTCTTTCTATTATCTTCGACTATGCATATCATTGTACGATTAATGCACGATAAAAATGGTTTCATAATCGACATGTAGCACAGTTTCATAAAATCATTTTAAAAGGAGATTTTGTGTGAATTATTATACGCTTCCATTACCACTGGCGCCTGTACTTTTCAGAATGTTGTCCAACGCCTGAAACAAAAACGTTCGAAACCAATAATTCCGTGGCAAATGCACCACATTGCACAAACAAAATATGAACACTCCCTGCAATGCTAACACACAACATAATATTATATTACATATAATCCGTAAATAATTACGCCGGTTTGGCAGAACCTAGCCGCACTTCTGAACCGTAGGTAGCGCGTTGTTGGTTTTCGGCCTTTCGTCGATATCCCGGCCGCCGCGGCCGCGTGGCCGAAGAGGCGAGGGGCGCGGGGCAGAGGGACGCGCGCGGCGCCGCACACAAAGAGAAACAATAAACGCGCCGAAACAATCCAGGGCGCGCAAGAGCGCCCGCGCGACCGCCGCCAGGGGTGCCCTGCGTTGCCCTGCGTTGCACGGCGAAAAACGCGCGGGCGCTACCTAGGTTTTACAGCGAGACAGCTTGGTTCTGCGAATCTGGGTAATTTTTATGGTTTGTGTATGATGCAACATCACGTAGAGTATTTGTGTTAAAGCGAGTTGTTAAATGAGGCGAGTTGAGTTACAGTTGGTTTTTTGAGTCGAATTGAGTTATAGTAGGTTTTTACGTGAGTCGAATTGAGTTGAGATGAGTAGGACTGAGTCGAGTTGAGATACGTTTGGAGCGAATCGAGTTAAAATGAGCTAAAGTTTGAATGAGTGTTAGGGCGTTGTCGTTCGTGTGGCACAGGTTTATAGGTTTCAAACGATCTCTCATGTATCAGGTTTTCTAAAAGATGTAGATTTTAAACCAATTAATTTTTAGAAGCACAGTATCATAGATATTATTATTATTATTATTATTATTATTATTATTATTATTATTATTATTATTGTTTTTAACTTCTAGGCACTGTTGTTTATGACCAACATGAGCATTTCATATGAATAAAAATTGGATATCCAATGAAATTTCGAAAATCAGACTCAATGTTGGAAGATATTGCCTAAAATGTATTTTCATCCAAATTTACTTAGTCTTTTCATCGCTTACATTAGTAAGTTTGCGTTTATGAAATATACCTATGAAATATGAATTACGCACGAATTTGGTTATGAAATCTAGCGACGAGTGTTCAATTTTTTTTAAATTCACGTGAACGTGGGAGAGATTTCGGTGAACCTCATTTTCACTCTTTCTATTAAGCCGGGTGAGGTTTGGAACTGGCGTATTCTGCTGGGCATCTTAATTTGAGAATCTTACTCTGCAGATCTGTGCAGTAATTAGAAAAAACATCAGCATCATTCAGAACTCTATTCTGCATTATCAGAATGTGACAATAACTATCTTAAAAAACCATTTCGTTGCTTTATTTGCGCACAACTACTTGAAATATTATTCTGGATTGAACGAAATTGCTATTGCCTTCTGATTATCATTCTCTAAACATTGACAATTTTGAAACAATATCTTTCTCAAAAACGGCTACAGCTGTTTTCTTTGTTCTTTTCCTTATATAGCAAAGAACAGTAAAGAAAGTTGCGCTTGTCACATTTTTGGTGTACTATCTGTATTTGCGGAAATTGAAAGAAAAAAATCGAAATTGTAAATTTAAATTTCCCGCGCTCATTTGACGCGCTGTCAGTTCACGAAAAGACAACACAGCGCATCTGTTTAAAATGTTAGGAATTCTTCTCAGTGTGCCAGCCAGGATGATCGTATGATGTTAATAATATTCTTATGAAAGGAAGTAATTTTAAATTTGTACTAGTTCTACCGATCGGCTGCTCTGATCGGCATTTTCCCATATCATTCACCCTCAATACCTCGCGAATGGCGGATCGGTTCCCTAACTAACGGTCCAGGGGACATTGCCGTGCACGAACTTTCCTTCTTCTCCCTTGCCCTATCCTCTCTCCTCGGGCACAAAACACACGCACATGTAGGTATCTTAAGAGTTTGTCCCTGCGGGGGCGGTGCTCCTCTCAGGAAGGGACGCGAGGGCGAAAGCCTCGCAAGCCATCGAGAAGGTTGACGCCGGATTTCACCTCCTGTGGGGGAGGAGCACTGTCTCCTCCCGCCATAAATAATTGAAAATGGCAACGGTTCTAATTACCGTTCCCGGAAACATCAATTGATTGATGGATCGGGTGTGCCCCGTGTGGCGCCTGCAGGCCCCTGCCCTGGGCACCCCTGGTCGGCTGGCGCGTGGCGAGGCGTGGCGAGGCGTGGCGTGCGCGGGGCGCAGCGGTGCGTTGACAAGCGAACGCGCGCGCGTGCATGCCGGCCGCCGTTGGAAAGCGAAAGCGAAAGGGCTTCCACGCCCCTCAGCTCAGCCGAGCAGCGCCGACCACGCGCCCTCCGCGAGACACCGGAAGGGCATTGCACCTGCGAGCGGCGGGGCCGCAGCCTTTCTGCCTGGCGCGCACCTCTCTAAATGAAATGCACTCTGATTGCTCAACGGAACACTTGTTCACGTTGAAACTTCAAGGTAGTAGTTATTTATTAACTTCAGTGCACTGGCCTGCCTTACAGCTTCTGTTTACTTATTGTTCGGAAATAACCCTCGAAAAGCTTTGCAGATTGCACTACTGAGTATTTAGGTTTGTGATAAATGCTTTCGTTTATCGTTTAGAACTAGTTGATTGCTACGTATCTGCGATTATTAAAAGGATCCAAGGGGCGTCCGGGGAAGGAGTCGTGTAGCTAATAAGAGATGTCGCCCCAAGGTGAAAATTGGGGTCGCCGGAAAAGAATGAAGATAGACAATGAAAGTATGCGTTAGGTCAATAATATGCTTACGTATGGGAAAGTCCATTGTAGTTGAGAGTTGCCGTCATACCACAGTGCTAATTTATCAGTTTTGCTGAACTTGAAGTTTTGAGAACGATGCTCGTTATGCTCCTCCCCATGTGTGACGGGATACGAAAGTACTTAACAGTTATTTACTACATTAGTATCGCAAGACATCTCATTGCAATACGAAACTGAGAACTTGAGGAGCACGAGGCATTAGGCCGAGTTAGATAACCAATCAAGTGTTATAACATACAAATATCGTTCAACGTTTTATCCACTTTTTGTTCGTATCAGTTTGGCTATTAGACCTGCGTCTATTTGACTTTTCGTCGTTATAATTCTCTGTGATTCTTCCCGCGAAATGTGACAATAGTATTTAATCAAAGACCATGGATTATTGTACGAGTATTAGTTGCGTTAAGAAACTAATAATTATTGGTAGGCTATGAAATATTAGAACGCATGTGTTGCAATAATTCGTTACTAGACTTATTTTCCGTTTCACTAAGTTCGACTGAACACTGGCGGCGATGGTGTAGCGGTTAGCGTACTGGACTGTTGTACCCAAGTTGGCGGGTTCAAACCCGATCGAAGCCGTGGATTTTTAAAGGGCGAGAAAATCCTTCGTACGTCTTCCTTCGGAGGGGAAGTAAAGCCGGCTGTCCCATGTTCGTAGATTTACTTGCATGTAAAAGATCCTCAAGCCAATGACGCCTCTGAGCTAAATTCAAATCGCCTGTTTCTCGCCCAAGAAATACCTCCTTTCTCTCCTAGTCGGTGAAAGGAGCGTAGCGAAATTTGCGTGGTCAGACGGAAGAGCGGGCCTAATGGCCCGAGTCTCGCCTCGTAAAATAAGGCCAATTCAATTCAATTCAACACTTGCCCGCAAAACCCTCTACTATGGATGGAACCAAACGCCTTCGCTTTACACTTATGTGTTTACAAAATTATGGAATTTCTTGTTAATATGAAAAATTGTTGTTACTTATGTTTTGTGAATCAATTTCATCCGCATATTAATTTTAGATTCTTTGTACCAACTTTACGTTTTCGAATTTCCACCTATACTGCTCAGATTATATTTGTATTTTCCCTACTCTTGAGTTTCTGGACAGTTTCATATATTGTTATACTTAGGCTTTCAAACGAAATGCTATACAAAAATAACCCTGCTTTTTTGATGTTTTTCTCAAAATTATGTGGAACGTTTGTAGGTGAATGAATAGATTATAATAACTTACGTTACATAATTTCTTCTCTTTGGATTTTAATAGAACGTTCGTGGAGATCTGCCAACAGCACTATCAACCACGTTTTTAGTTCGCCCCTTTATATAATATTTTCTCGTTTTGACTCAATAAAACAGCGATGAAGAAATTGAGCCCAATGACAATAAGAGTGCTTTTTTCTCTTTTCACATTTCATCATTGCTTTTACTTGTGAAGAATGAATTGAATGATCTTCGATGACTCGATACTTTCACCGCAAAATCAGTGCTCAAAGAAGTTATGTATTTTGTTAACTTTATCGTCTTACGTGATATTTGATGCCAGTAATAGCGATATACAAAGGTTAGTTACACTAGTTAACAAGTAAAGTCCGTCATTTAGCCCAAAGAGGAATATTTTTTGTCGGGTGAACACCACAATGTTGGTGGACTTGATATTTCAATATGTTCAGTTTATATTCTAGATTAGTGTTTCTTTTTAATGCGGGTTTAATTTAATTAATTCTCTTTAATTTATAGCGATTACTCTAAATTGTTTTCGATATAAAGGGTATTTTTAAAGAGGTAAATTGTGCGTTTAGCACAATGTGGGAACACATTACTGCCGTCATGTACAGAGGAATTCGGACTTTGGTTTTAGTAAATTGCACGTACTGCTGTCAACTAAGGATGTAGGGACTAAAATAATGGGAAAAACTAAGAGAAGAAAACGTAATTGAAAACTATAAGAAAATGATGACTATGCATTTAAGATTTTAATGTTCAATCTATTAATTGTTTACGTTTCAGTATAAATTATGGCTTAAAATCAATAATTCGAAATTAAGATGAATGAATGTGGATCGATTTTGTAATCGAATCTAATAAATTCTCGATATTCCTAGAATGTAAGTATCTATTCAGGCTACCAACGAGAATTTTGATTGTTATAATTAAATAGTTACTTAATTCAATACAATATGTAGTTTATAGGCAGTTACAAATCTCATGAATGGAATATTTTGGTAGGTTTAAATGATATTTAACTAGGAACGGAGTAAGTGTCTACAAGGCGCCATGCAATGTTGCAACTTCATCGCTTCACACGGAGGGGGGAAAAGCTTTTCTCGCCTCAATTGCTGCTCTGCTTTGGCGGGAAGAACCCACCTTCGACGCAACCTGCCTCGGGCGTCTTGTGGGAAGGCACTCTGCCCAGCCGTATCGTTTACATTACACGATCTCGCTAGGCAGAGGGCAGAGCGCACGTAAAAAGAGGATTTGGCCAAAAAAGTGGACGAGCCAGTCTTGTTCACCGGATATTCGGCCACTGCAGTTATCTTCTTGAATGAAACTTCAAAAATAATAATGAAAGTTGATTAATTTGATAGAATACTGCAAAAGATTGTCTGTCGTTTCAAAAATTAGTCATAACCAAAAACGAGAATGCTGTAATTATTTTATCAATAGTAGATGTTATGCACCTAAGACTGAAAATAACGTAAAAAATAGAAATAGTTGTTAGGAAAGTGGGTGTTTTACTATGTCATTTTGCTCGGAAACGGGATCCGGAGGGGATCAAAAGAATGCTGTCGTGGAACGATATTTTATGCAAAGAAATGGCAATGCGTTTAACCTAAAAATAGGCGTCCTCTTCAATGTATGGGGTTGCTAATACCAGTTCTTTGTGATGAAAATTTTATCATTTAATACACAATTGAATATTGGAAACTTTTTTGAAGCAAAACCAATAATTAATTACCAAGAATATATTTTTTCATTCAGGAATAGAATTATTTTCAAAAAAGATTTGAGAAGAATTATTCACGATATTGGTTTTAAGATAAGCCGATAATAAATTGTTATATGCTATTTTTTGTTTCAAAATATATCTTCTTGGAACGTATATCTGAGTAATTATGAAATTTCTGCGGTCTTGTCAGTGGTATTTAAAAAGGCATTTCAACAAAAAACCCTTCGCCAGAACCAGCAAGTTGTGTATATCACTACTTATCAATATTCACAGCAAATATATCTTGTGAATTTTTTTATTAACTAGTTAATCTAATTTTCTAAATTTAATTTTTACATTGAAACTTTTAATGAGCATATTAGCACGATGTGCAATTAGTATTATACTAGCTTGTCTTCAATATTATCAACTTATTGTTCTATACCTATATAAGAACGGTCAAAAACATATTTCCCGTCCAGTTAGGTGAAACACAAGTAGTGTACGAGTAGGTAGTATCTAGTATTATCAATATTTAAGACGCATGCGAGTAGTTATGGTGTTAATTTTGTCATACGATTCTTCGGCTTGCTACCTCGTACATTCCAGTCTTATGACAATTAATTGGATTGTTTCGTTATTTGATAGTACGCAAGGCGCACTCCATTCTGCAAAGAACGCTTGCACACGACGGCCGCTGCAGGCTCCAGCCGAGCGGCCACGCCGACCGGAAGGGGCGAGGGCTGCCGCGTGCAATTTCCGCTGCCTCCACACGGGCGGCGCAGGGGCAGGGGCAGGGGCAGGGGTAGGGGCAGGGGCAGGGAGTGGGCGGCGATGGCGACGAGCGAAACGCGTTCAGTAATTGATTTGGGGCGCGCAGTCTCCGCCCACCACGGCCTCGCCCGCGGGCGCTCTCATCGCATCCGGGCGGCTGTGGGAGACGCGGCTGGAGAGGGGCTGGAGCGGACTGAAAAGTGGAGCGGACTGAAAAGTGACTGGAGCGGACTGAAAAGTGACTGGAGCGGGCTGTAAAGTGACTAAAGCTGGCTGGAAAGGCGCTGGAGCGGACTGTAAAGTGACTGAAGCGGGCTGGAGCGGACTGAAAAGTGACTGGAGCGGACTGTAAAGTGGCTGGAGCGGACTGGAAAGTGGCTGGAGCGGACTGGAAAGTGGCTGGAGCGGACTGGAAAGTGGCTGGAGCGGACTGGAAAGTGGCTGGAGCGGGCTGGAAAGGGGCTGGAGCGGACTGGAAAGTGGCTGGAGCGGACTGGAAAGTGACTGAAGCGGGCTGGAAAGGGGCTGGAGCGGAGTGGAGAGGGGCTGGAATGGTCTGGAGCGGTCGGTAGTGGTAGCGACGGGCAGCGTGCAGGAACGGGCGGAAGCGAATCTATAGAAGAGTTGGTGCAGAACGCGAATTTTTAATGTTCCAAAAACAGTGATTTGGGAGATTAATAATTTGAGGGAATGGTGGAATGGAATCTGTTCGGGAAATGTGAATAATGTAAATGCTGTGTTCTTTACAGACGACCAGGTTTTAATTGCTAGAAATGGATATGAACTCTCGAAAAATGCTTCATTTATTGAGTAAAATCTTAGAAGATTTCAACGTCAAAATCTCTATAAACTAGTAGCGCTAAAACAACGTACTTTCTCGCCCGTTCATTTACGCAAAATTACCTGAAAAGTCCGAATATTTTCGAAAACTTATTCTTGATCTCATTTCAAAATCTATTTTTAAGAAACAGATTTCATTAAGGGGAAATATATGTACCTATATAATTGTAGTTCTAAGGAGACGCCGAAAACATTTTGAATTTGTGCAATTTTTTACAAATTGCAGTTTTCAACGAAAATGCGACCTACACCATTATCTTAAACGTTATTTACACTGTCCAACAACAAAATTTAATAAAATACCTGGACAGTTGAGTCTTGGCAGCGAACGCGACTAGACGTGCCTGCCGCCCCGAGGGCAGTTCGTGCTTATCGCGGAGTGCCAAAATAAGGCCCGGGGCAGCCGGTGCCAAGGCGAAGGCGCGAAAGCGTATCTTAAAACTTTTTTGTTCACGTTTGTAGTCAAAAAGAAATTAGAATTACTAGTGAAGTGAACCACATGTTCCCCTGGGATTGAATGCAGCAGAAGATCCTCCACAGCAGACATTCTACAAAATTCCCGTACAAAACAGGTATGGAACTTTACAAAATGTACAATATCCAAACTTTCACTTACCCAAAATCCCCCCCCCCCCATAAGCATAATTAAAAATGCAGGAAATGTTCCAAACTTTACTTTATTATCACGGAAATCCAGAATCTTGTTACAAACGTCTTTAGTTCAAAAGTAAAACAAAATCATATTGCATGTATTTTTCACTACAATAGATTACTGGAAAATTCCGTAAATTCTGCGACGAGAAAGAAATTCAACAATTTACTTCTCGCGAACCAACAAAGAAAACAATTTCCGCCACAATCTATGACATCGCAACAGCGTATTCAAACGATGATTAGAATTAGAAAAACGTATTCAATTATCTCAGTATACAGACTATTCAACAAAAAAGAGAACAAGTAGAAATATGCGCAATAGAATTGTTAAGTGATGACCGGGACCGTGAAATAGTGCACCTGAATCGACTTTTCAATAGAGTTATCTAAGTGGAATTCAAAACAAATCAATCGTACTTGTTCAGTAAAAACTGTCTAAACATAAGCCACACGAAATCAAATTCACAATTAGAACCACGCTGTGTCCGATGTTTAGATACAAATCATTATTTAAATGTCCAAATCCTAAAGGTTTTCCAGCAAAGAGTGTTGCTGGAACTGCTTTCAAAATCATACTGCAGAGGATGCAAAATATTCAAACCAAAAATGACCAACAATTTTTCTTTTCTAAACTCTCAAACCAATGTTAAAATGTACCGAAGATCAAATCAACCTATTAGCCAACCAATTCTAATTGTAAACTCCAAATCACAAGTTACACTTCCAATATTGGTAATATTAGAAGACTTTCCAAAACGTTGTATTCATTTTCCAGTTCAAATTTACTCTTAGCAAATCTCTAATGAAGTATCATTTATTTGTTTTATCTAAAGAACGTCTCATTTACTATGGTATTATAAGAGAAACTGTTTACATTTATAAGAAAATAATGCTGGGTTATAATATTTTTTATGTTCTTTAAGACAATATAAAGTTAAAAAGTAATATTTTTAAAAAATGAAAAAAAAACTTTATTTATCCAAAACTGTGCAGTTGTCTCAAAAAAGGTGTACTTTTTATGAATGGTGCTAATATAAAAATGCTTTAAAAAATAGCATTAATTTCTATCAAAAAAATCTTGGCTCAACTAAAACGACTTAAAAATATAATTGAAAATATTTACAGAATTTTAAAAAACTTTCAGGTAAATATACTTAAAAATTGTGGTCTGACGGACCTCACCATTATATTTACGTATAATGAATTAAGTGCTATATTTAAGGGTTAATAACAACTCACATAATGAATACTCTATTCCCACAAATACAAAAATTGTAACAAATTCTGCCAACAATAATAAACAATGGACCATAACACCGATTTAAAATCCTAAATTGGAATGCCAACGACTTTCAAAAGCCATTTTACAAGTTCAAACACTTTCTTCGCGACCGAAAAATAGATATTGCATGTCTAATTGAAACTCGCCTCAATAATAATAATAATAATAACAATAATAATAATAATAAATGTATAGAAAAGAGAGAAATGCGATCCACACAGGTGGAGAACTAGCTACAACAATTAAATGTAATATAAAGCATAATCCTGTAATAATCCCACAAAATAGTAATGTTGAATTCGTAGCAATATCCATCTCTCTTTCAGGAGGTACTATCTCATTAATAACAGCTTACAAACCGCCAAATATGAAACTGCCAATATACATTATGGAAACTATTTTCAGTAATAATAATAAAATAATACTATTAGGAAATCTTAATGCAAAAAATCAAGCATGGGGCTGTCATACCACCACCCCTCTTGTAAAAATATTAGAAATTGCCATAATAATTGTATAATACATGCACCCACAAAACCCACTCATCCGTATAATAAAAACATTAAATCGGATATACTTGACAAAGTATTAACGCAAAATGTAAACTGGTCCACATATCAGAACGCAATCCCAGCATTCAATTCGGATCATAATCCAATATTAATACTATTCAATCAAACAACTTCAACTTGTGACGTCATGGATACTCACAGCGACCACAGACACAGAGCTTTCGTATAACAAATATATTTATTAACAAGAAAACAAAACAAATATATACACTTAATAATCTACTTACACCCTAGCTCTGATAGACCTACTATCCCCTGATCGCGGGAGCGATCTAAACCCGATTGAAGATGGTTTTGATTGTGGCATTTGCCACTCCTACTTCTGAAGCGCGCACAAAGCCTAGCTTCCGTGACCGGATGTCACGCTGGGACACAAAGTCCGTTCTGGCGCACCAACGGCTGGTTTGCCTCGATCGCAGGAGCGATCTTATCCGATTGAGAATCGGCGTGAATCGTGGCACTCAACCACTCTTCACCTCGGAGCACGCACACAGCATCGCTCCCTCGTGACCGCAGTCACCCAAGGACCTAAAGTCCGCAGGCTTCGTCAACTAGTGACTCGAGCCTCGCGAGCCTGGGCCTGGCTCGCATATGCACCGTCGTGGCGCCAAGTTTTGTGCACACGCACGAGGTTCTCCCGCTGTCTCCAGAACCCACCTACTGGCTCTGTACACTCAGTTATATAGGCGAGGCCCACGTGACCTAGTACGCCACGCCACCCCCTCGCTTGTTATAACAGTGAAAAGCTCTTATAAGCCGGAAACTCCCAAAGCCTTGTGTCTCCCGTTTCCGCGTTCTTCCCTTTACGGAAAAACCCTACTTCCTGTGGCTAGGCTAATCCGCTCCCAAGCGTCCCCAAATAGATGCCATGAGGCACGCTGGCTAATACGTTACAAACTATTACTTCTTATAATCCTCTTATAAATGGTAAAGTAAATTGGAACTTATTCCAGGACTAAAAAATGCAATTGGATAACTATCCTAAAACCAAAATACAACAAATGGTATTGACCTATCTATAGAAACCTCTGTAAATAATATAAAATCTGCAAAATCATGAACTACTAAGAAAACCGTCACGAACAAAATAAAAATAATTCCCTTTTCAACTGACATGACAAATTTAATTGCCTATAAACATAAAATACGTAGACAGTGGCAAAAATCCTCGATTAAAACTATATTAATCGGGGAAGTTTCTTTGATTAAAGCTATATTAAATTATCTTAGTGGCTGACGCTGTTCAGTCGGACAGACAGACAGACAGACGCTCTGCCGTCATTCGATTTTTCGGTATCAAGGATCCACGAAACATGAACTCGGGCTACACCATTTGTTAGAGGAAATTTTTCTTTCTAAATTCAGCAACTGGATCCATCCACTTTTTCGTTACCAGGGACCTGTTTCGTAATACGTTTTCTGCCGAAACTTCTCCGCATTTCGTGCAGCATTGCATAACTTTCTTTCAACTGCGTAAGCGGTACCGAGAAAGTAATAATCAGGCAAATTCATTTTTTTTCATAGAAGAAAATGTTGTCAGTTTCGTTATTTCCGTTATTTTATTTTGATTATTTTGATTGTTCACGCTATCTCAAACTGTGAAGTCTTACAAATCAAATCGTTATAATTATTCGATTCCTATAGCACGTGTTTACTAGTGTTTTCTTTGGTATTAAAATGGTGATGCATAGTTTCCGTATTCCAGTTCTGGGTGAAGTAAACGAGAAATGACCAATTGGTGAAGTACTCTGAAGTTATCAAAAGTGTCGATTGGCTGGCTTTAGAACTCTGTTTAATGCACATGCAGAACTTACTCTATTTTAGTTGTTAAAATGTTTTTGTGTTTTTTATAAGTTTAATGCACATTCGTGCATTTTATAAGAAATTTCTGAATGCAATTCTGCTTCAGATCATTTAGGTCCGGTTACAGAATAAATATCTCTCGCGTTCGTGTGGATGCTGCGGTGTCAGGGTGTCGGGTTTTCGAACCGGCTCTGCGCCCGACGCCCAGCGCGCCCGGGGGGGAGGGGGGGGGCTGTGATGTCGCCGTCCAGAAATGCTGTCCGTGTACAGGCCATTACGCGCGTGCGTGTGCTTTCCATTATATTCTGCAGGCTGACCAAAGTTGCTCGTGTTTTTGTATTACGCAGACTCATTTATTCTCTACAAATGGGTATACTGACGTTTAAAGGTCATTTTCTGTGTAACGGTGCGGGATTATGGA